AGTGGCTGCCAGGCTGAAGAGGTTAGTGCTTTGTGTCACATAAGGCCTCAATATTTGTTAGAAATGTTGCCCCAGAGGCTCAGAATGGCCATAAAGTTTTATAGCATCTGAAGTAAGCAAGACTCAAATGTGCATGTGCAAGATCTCTGGATATAGCAGGGTCTGATGTTTCAGAATCAGGGAACAGGTCACTAAGTGCAGCGGTGTGTTTCCCTGATGTGCTTTTAATCATTTTTGAACAACAGAGATTGATGGCACACAGACAAACTAATCCAGGACTGACATTAACGGTGAGTAGAGGCAGTTCATTGTGGGTTTTATTCTCTGTGTGGGGAGTGCTGAAAATACTGTTAATATAGAAAATGACTGACTTTAAGGAAAGAAGCACTTTTATAGGTAATCCCACACTGTTTCCCACATTCTACAGTTTTACACACACCTCCGATCTATACTAATTATTGGTTGCTGTGTTGATCAAACCTCTCCAGCTTGTAGCTTAACTCCAAATGTTAAAACTGGTGCAGTGAATATACAGTAACTAACAAGCTAGCAAGACAGGAATTTTGTGATAATGCTCAAAATCACAAGTCTAAAACAGCCCTCCCAAAAAGCAAGAAAGATGTTTCATTTTCCTTGGAACTTAAAAGGAATTGAAGGTTGCACAGTGTTCTGGTAGGACTCCCACACTGTGCTAAATGGCTATTTAGAAAGTAAAACTTTGCTGTTTGAAAATCAGTAATGGGTCAAGCATCTCAGCTGTGTGGAGGCACAACTCTCAAATTCAGATGGCTCAGAACCTGGACAAATGACACCAAAACTCCAGGGCTAGAGATGAACCTTTACCTCCAGAGACACCGATTCCAATTGGTGAAGGAGAAAGCAACACAAGGCAGAAAGGACAATAAATCTGATGTTTTCTGATTTCAATATTTTCCTCCTACAATGAAAATCTTTGAACCACAACACAAGGTGTGGACAATCCACAATCAGAGGACTGCTGATGAGCCTGACTATGCCGTTCATGAAAATAATAAGAAATGCTCAGGTGGATTAGTGATCTAACTGTAGCTAACACAGAAGCCCTTGTGTCGTCTGAGTTCATGTCCACTTCATTTACAGTGGGTACGGAAAGTATTCAGACCCCCTTAAATTTCTCACTCTTTGTTATATTGCAGCCATATGCTAAAATCATTTAAGTTCATTTTTTTCCTCATTAATGTACACACAGCACCCCATATTGACAGAAAAACACAGAATTTTTGACATTTTTGCAGATTTATTAAAAAAGAAAAACTGAAATATCACATGGTCATAAGTATTCAGACCCTTTGCTCAGTATTTAGTAGAAGCACCCTTTTGAGCTAATACAGCCATGAGTCTTTTTGGGAATGATGCAACAAGTTTTTCACACCTGCATTTGGGGATCCTCTGCCATTCCTCCTTGCAGATCCTCTCCAGTTCTGTCAGGTTGGATGGTAAACGTGGGTGGACAGCCATTTTCAGGTCTCTCCAGAGATGCTCAATGGGGTTTAAGTCAGGGCTCTGGCTGGGCCATTCAAGAACAGTCAAGGAGTTGTTGT